CTAAACAGAGGATGGAGATCAGGCTTGCTTCACTTGTGGTGTCATGCTTGGGAATACGCTGACAGTCTTTTTTTTTTTTTTGCGTTACGCGGGCCTCTCACTGTTGTGGCCTCTCCCGTTGCGGAGCACAGGCTCCGGACGCGCAGGCCCAGCGGCCATGGCTCACGGGCCCAGCCGCTCCGCGGCACGTGGGATCCTCCCGGACCGGGGCACGAACCCAAGTCCCCTGCATCGGCAGGCGGACTCTCAGCCGCTGCGCCACCGGGGAAGCCCCTCGCTGACAGTCTTTTAAACCAAATTGCTCTACAACACAAAGTGGGGCATCACCCTTTGGAATTAATTATGTTTGGAATTCCTTACGTATAACCGTCACCTGCAATAATTCAGTGTTGAGTCACGAATACAGAAGCTTTGTCAATCAGACACATTGAACACTCTGAAAGGGTCCTTAAGCGACGGGGGCACAAGCAGCGCCATCTATGCTCGCGAGGGGGGCTGCGGGTTAGGCTGGGGGCGGCTCACGTCTGCCTGCTCGTCACACTGTCAGCTGCTCCAGCCATTGACATTTTCCCTAGAAATGGCGTGTCACCTCTTTAAAGAAAGGCGGGGGCAGGCGCCTGACCCCTCCAAACCCATTTAAAGGAGAAACAGAGCTGTCAGAGACTATTATCCTTTTGCCAAGTTATTTGGAATCCAAATGACAACGACACTCCCTTCTGTACACGGGACAGCCATCGCGTTTCTGAGAAACCATCCGGAGGTTCGCAGTCATTGCCGTGAGTCCTCTGCCCCCCTCTCCGTTTTCCCCTTTTCAAAATAATTTCACTATTGAAGTTCTTGGTCTGCACTCCTGCAGGGCGCCGCTCTCACCCACATTTCTAACCCGTTCTTCTGATTCACTAATGAGCCTGCAAACTGGCCGATGCTCTGAGGATGGAGAATGGCTTACGAATATTCGAATCTCTCAGGCTAACAGAATGCAGAGGTGTTGGAGCCAAAACAAATCTAAACAACCGGCTTCTTTCACAAGCGAGGAGAAAAGAAGGTCTAGAAAGCTCAGAAGGCCCCCCCGTGGCTCAGAGACCTGGCCTCCGTGCTGAACGTACTTGGTCCTCCTATCGTGGGTCCAAGCACCACCTCACACAAAGGACGGTTTTGTAAATCTTCTGTATCTTCTCTTAGGGAAATAAGCTCTGATTGCACTTCTGGGGAAAAAATCTATTCTTTAGTGATGGACCATTTTGACAAGCTAAAATAGTAGATGATACAAAATAACGTTTGGTTCAAAAGCTGGCTTTTAAAGGAGCACTCGGAAGTGGGAAATTTTTCTGACTTCACGCTTCTAAGTTTTACGCTTATATGGCTCCATTCTCACGACGTAAAAATGATTTTACATAGTCAGGCGTATTGTTCTGGAATATTACACAAAAAACTTTATATTATACAAAGTCAAACATGTTCTATGTTTGTTGAAAAGTTGAAATATGGAACACAGAGAAGAAAATAAAAGCTCCCAATAATCCTATGAGTGTTTTTCGTTTTGGCATATTTCCTACGAGCATGACATATATTCAATATTCGTACACACACAGGCATCTACCTGTACACATGGAGGCATGCGTGCATTTAACAACATCACTATCGTTCTGTAACACAGTTTTATATCCTGCCTAATCCATGTAACCTTGTATCAGGAGCACTTTCTCAAGGACACTGGATCAGATCATAAACGAACGTGGAGACTTGCGTTCCCGTGGAAGCTGAGATCACCGAGATGAGTGTTTGCACACGCGCTAAGAGGTCAAGGCTGAGGCTGACGGACGGGCTGAACAAGGACGGCGCCGGCCCAGCTCCTGGCTCTCTCTCTCACGCCTCCAGAGCAGCGTGAACACACAAGTTCCCCCACGGTTCCAATTTCTCTCCCACTTCTCCCTCTTCCTCCTTTGGGGGCAGGAGAGGGTGAGATGGTATTTGATGGGAAAGAAGGAACAGTTACAACTTGAGGAGAAAGGGAGAAATTTAAGGGCACTGAGCACGTGCTGGTGAGGTTATCAGATGTGCTGATGGAAGGTGAGACGGGCAGGGGATCTCACCAGGAACAATCTGGTCAGAGGATGAGCTGACATGGCTTCTGCTTCGACCTGCCTCATCTTCAACCACAGGGAGCTGCCCGCTCTGTGTCTGAGAGAGTAAACCTCCATGCTTTGAGGATGAAAGAGTGGGTTTTAGCAAATGGCCATGTTATGTACCAGCTGTTCATTTTAAAAATAACAGCTTTACTGAGATATAATTCATGTACCACTCAATCCACCCAACGTGCACAATTCGATGGTTTTTGGAATATTCAGAGTTGTGCAACCATCACCACAGTCAATTAGAAAACATTTTCATCACCCGCAAAAGAAACCCCATAGTCATTAAGCCACACCCTGTCTCCCTAACGCCCCAGGGCCCAGCAACCACTCATCTACTTTCTGTCTCTGTGGATTCGCCTCTTCTGGATTTTCACATCAATGGAGTCCTACAATATGGGAAACTTTGTGACTGGCTTCTTTTTACCCAGCATAATGTTTTTAAGGTTCCTCCAGGCTGTGGCATGCATCAGTATTTCATTTCTTTTTATTGCCAAATAATATTCCGCTGTATGGATGTACCATACTTTATCCATGAGTTCATGGATATTGGGGGTTTTCCACTTTTTGGCTACTGTGAATTAGCTAGTGCTGCTATGAACATTCATGTACAAGTTTTTGTGTAGATGTATGTTTTCACTTCTCTTGGTTATATACCTAGGCTAGAATAGTTGGGTCATATGGTAACTCTATTTAACTTTTGAGGCAGTGCCAGAGAAGCTGTTCACTTTTTTAGACAGTCCGATGATCCTGAACTAACATATGTTTAATTTGATTTTCTATTGTTATGGAACTACTGTTTAGTGAAGAGATTATTTTATTCAAAGTTGGGGATAGAAAGTCAAAACCTGCTTTGCTTCTTATACATCTTTTAACGAACAATTCTTTAAAATTATATTATTATGAGGATCTTGGACAATTTGGCCACGATCAATCGACAAACAATTTTAGAAATATTATTATAGCTACAATAAAAAAACGTTCACTATAAATAGCACGGTTTAAATTATGTTGTTGAATTAAAAACTCCAGTGTCAACAATAAACTATAAAACCAAAACTATATCATAGAACCCAAAACTTTTGTGTACAGAAGAATTACTGGGACAGTTTGTTAGAAAACTCAAATTCTAGGCTCTGCCCCAAGAGATTACAATCCAGTAGGCCAGAAGTGGGGCCCTGGGATCTATTTTTAACAACTTTCCCCAAACACACGTAGGTGATTCTGATGTAGGCTCCAGTCTGGCCAAAGTGGGCAGTTTTTGTATTTTCTTTCATGGGTTGTGCTGACAATGTCAACTTGATTGCTGTTTTCTATAGAAATATTTACCCACCCTTTAAGAATTGTCTCGCTCACCTTCTAAATCCTTTTTTTTTTTTTTTTTTTTTTTGCGGTATGCGGGCCTCTCACTGTTGTGGCCTCTCCCGTGGCGGAGCACCGGCTACGAACGCGCAGGCTCAGCGGCCATGGCTCACGGGCCCAGCCGCTCCGCGGCATGTGGGATCTTCCCGGACCGGGGCACGAACCCGCGTCCCCTGCATCGGCAGGCAGACTCTCAACCACTGCACCACCAGGGAAGCCCTCTAAATCCTTTTTGAACGGCCTCATGTGGAAGAACTCTTTCTTCCTTTGTATCTAAAATTTTAGGTCTATATATATTTGGTCTATGCATTTATTGTTCTATATTATTGGTTCTATGTGGTTCAAAATATATCTTATTTACCAGCTAGACAGTAAGTGACTTGAAGGCAGAGAATGACGTATTTTTTATACTGTCCCCTGCATGTAGGTGCTGAGGACATTGTGATATAAGACCTAAAAATTCAAGAGCTGCCTTGACATCTGAGTTTCATGGGCCCCAAAGGCTTAACCACGAGTTCCCCTGCCCTTGACAGATATGCCCCCCACCTAGCAGGAAAGGCTCCCCACCCTGCTGGATCCCTATAAGGCAGACCAGCTGTACCCCATCTGGTCTTTAACCTAACATGTCCAGTTCCCTGCCAGCCCACAGAACTATTCAAACAAGCCCATCACATCTTCCCTGGAACCAGGGGCCACCCCACCCTCTTGTTACTACAAAGCCTGAATCTCACAGTCCCTGCAACCCACTCTGCTCCTGTGCAGCCCCTCGTGGCCCAGCATGCTGTGCAGTGCCCTCCTCCCCCAGCGATGAGTATAGGTGACTGATAAACTCTGTCGCCTCACCTGCCTAGGCCAGGTGTTGTGTGCCCAGCCTCTAGCACTATTTAGGACACGGCTCCCTCCCTCACCAATGGGTGAATAGGAGGTGGTCAGAGCTGACGTAGTTGGTGCTCAGCTGTACGTATTGCTGGCTAAATGACCCTGAGCTTAGAATAGAGATTTTAGATAATAGCTTACCTTGACCTGCGTTATGTGCGTATACTTTTCTGGAGGGGAGGAGTATAGAAGCAGGGAATCAGGTGTTGGACTGAATTTCTAAAACCCAGTCCGGGGGAAGAAAGGGAAATAATACAGCCGTGAATCACATTTTGTTTAAAACTGAGCAATCCAGTCTGAAGGATGAATTTAGGCTGATTTGTTGCCCAATGCAGCCAAAACAACCTGCTTTTGCTTTCCTCCTCAATGCTCTTTTCCCCAAATGGTATGTTACAGCAGAGCATATGCGGAGGATGGTATTTACACAATACGGCTTTCCTTCTGAAGATCGTGGAAATTTTGCAGGGCTCTGTTAAATACTCAGGGGCGTGCTTGTATTGTGTATTATCAATCAGAGAGTAACATATCGACGTATAGAAATCATGCAACACTAAACGGAATGTCTATTTCCCCCAATAACAAGCAGAGGATAAACCACAGTTACGTGTCTCCCCCTCTGTGACCTCTCACCTTTCAAGGTGGCCTTCTTAAGAACCTTCATTGCGTAGAGCTGCCCAGCATCTGACCCCTTGACCTTCCTCACCAGGAACACCTGGTGAGAAAGAGAACACAGAACACCTGCAGTTGATATGACTGTAAATTCATTTTCCTTATTTGATTTGACACGGGGATACACAGGGAGTTTAGGAAACTCCAATAAAATAAATACACTGTAGGAAAAACCTACATGTAAAGTCTTCTCCAACATCTGGGATGTCAGGAAAAGTTCATCTAATTTATTACAACCCTGTGAGGAGCCGTGTTACGTGTTCGTATGAAGAATCGCATTTGTTTTCAGCACCACTCACTTTCTACGAAACATTTTATATCAGAGGGAATAGCACCCTCCTTTTAAACAAAGACCAGTTGTTTAGAAAAACAAACACTATCCAGAAGTTTTCGGGGAGGTCATTTGGTTTACTGTAAATATGCCCTGTAAATCCCCAAGGCGAAGGCCACCCTGAGAGTCACTGCCAACCACCCAGGACACTCTCTGGCTCTCAAGATGAGCTAGGCTCTCTTATTTTGAGCTTTCTTCACCCAAATTTCAGCTTTGAGTAGCTTAATTTTATAGTTGGAGTTGGTTTCTAAATGGCTCTTACATAATCTCACGTGGACACAACATCTGCTGGGATACATTGTGACGTGTATCGTGGAGGAAAAGACAATTGTTTGAGAGGCTGAGCTTAAAAGTCACATTCCTGGTTGTTGAACAAAATTAGTAAAAAACCAACCAACCAACCTGGGGTATCCGTTACAAACAGAACACCTTCCACGCAGATGAAACCACAGTATTTGCTTTTCCTAATGGTATTTACCAACAGATGCAAAAATCTGCTGTCATGACAGAGACGTGGGTGCAGATGACATGTGTGTCCAGAGGGCACAGGGGCTGCCCGCGTGTGTGCTTGGAGCTTCACTGCGTGCAGTCGCCACGGATCGTGTTCAAACCCACAGGGGCTGTGGGACAGAGTGATCTACCCACCGTACTGCAGTGAAGACGACTCATTAGCCCCAAGACGAGGCATTTGTCATCGGAACGCTAGTGACAATAGTAAAACCCCTCTTTCAAAACGAGGGGACAACGGAGAAAAATGAGGACAGGTATATGAAGGATGTGCGTTCAGAAGGTCGAGCCTTTGGAATATCCAGAGTCGGTCTTCTCTGTCCCCCTTTTCATTCCTTTCTCCGCCTCTTCCCCACAACATAAGGGGGGTCCGTAGGAACTACCACATGAATATGTATATGTGGTACATGCGTGGATTCAGAAGCAGGGAAGACTGTCCACTCAAGTCCACACGGAAGGCCATGTTCACATGGCATCTGACCATGTGATGGTTTAGTTTCAAGGATGCAAATCTTGCATGGATCGGTTCACATGAACCTGTTTTCTTTTATTGCAACTCAGGTTCTAGTAATAAAAATGAGATGATGGATAATAATGGCTATTTATATTCATCTGGTTTAAAAAGGAGTTCTACTTTTATTTTCAAAAGAACAGGAAAAAAACTCCACACTACCAATATTTGTCAGGCTCCTGCCACACGCCAGGTCCTGCAAGAAACACAGCAGGAACGGCCCTCCAGCAAGCAGAGCACCCAACAGGAGACAAACGCATTTCGAGAGAAACAACAAAAGACAGTAACAATTGACTTAAATGTGGATTTAATACGAGTGAAGAGGCTGTCTCTGTCTGCCCGGGGAGAGCCCTCCCGCCCGAGGCATCCCGTACCTCTCGCCTCTTCATCCTTACGTGATTCAGGAACACATTCTAATGTAGTGAGATAAGTTCCTAAACGACTGGACAGTTTCAGCAAAGACAGCTGCCGAATCTCTAACACTTAACCCAGGGGACTTTTCATGTGCTCCTGCGTTTTATTTTTAGAGTTGCTCCTTCAGAAGCTCAGCCGAGACTCTGCAAAGCCCTTCCGTGAGCACACGTGGAGACAGATGCCATGTCACCCAAAGCTGCCCTAGTCTCCATGTATTACCGCGATCAGCCAAATCACTACCTCATTCTCTGAGCGAGATTTTCAACTCTGTCTCAGAACTGGCACCTGGCAACTGGTCTGCAGCGTTCCCTCAACACACGAGCCTGGCAGCTGGTCTGCAGTGTCCTCCCAGCGCACGACCCAAGTGGATGGCGGCCGTGCGCTTCCAGAGGACGCCAGGGTACCAACCTTCCCCCCAGAGGAAGACATTTACAGACCTGTTTTTTTTGTTTTTTGTTGTTTTTTTTTTTGCAGTACACGGGCCTCTCACTGTTGTGGCCTCTCCCGTCGCGGAGCACAGGCTCCGGACGCGCAGGCCCAGCGGCCGTGGCTCACGGGCCCAGCCGCTCCGCGGCACGTGGGATCTTCCCGGACCCGGGGCACGAACCCGCGTCCCCTGCATCGGCAGGCGGACTCGCAACCACTGCGCCACCAGGGAAGCCCCTACAGACCTGTTCCTACAAACCCCACCGCTTAGTCACGGGGGAGCAAGGACGTTTCTCATTGGGGTTTGATCCCACCTCAGAACGTGGGATCCCAATCCGGTCCTTATCTGCCTGGGGAGACCGAGGGGCAGGTGATGAGCCAGAGAGGGGGCAAAGGCTTTGTTTCCACCTTCCTTGAAGGTTTCGGGGAACATCTGGGCAGCGCCATGCATTTTAACACTCGGACACCCTCTGCCCCATTCCTCAAAGTGTTTCGCTGCTTTCCCACTGCCTGCTTGGCCGTTAAGGACAGGCTGTCTTCCTCTGGTTCCAAGCACTACCGACCCCCTGCTCTCCAGCCATCACTGAAATAATCCTGGTTTGACCAAATTACTAATGGCCAGAAACTGTCCCCATTATTCCCAGCAAATTCCTTCAGCAAACGGGCTACTTGGCTCCCTGGGCTCTGCAGGGCGGAGCGTGGGGATGGCAGTGCACGCTGCCCCTTGTGTGGTCCCGTCTGGGGACAATCCTGAGGCCGCCAGCCTCAAACATCCCTGTGAGAGACCCTAACCCTAAGCCGGGGGCCCCCCCCTTGGGGTTGAGCGCTACTCCTTTCCAGGAATGATCTGCCACCTGCACAAGGGGAGAGAGGGGGCTGAGGAAAGGGGAGTGAAGGGTGCGGGCGGAGGATAGTCACTTGGGCGATTCCCAGGAGCAGTGTGGGGCCAGCAGCAGGCACAAGCGAGGAGGTCTTGGTGGCATTTTATCCATTTCCGCGTCTCCAACAGCTGCAGTCACTGAAGGGGTGAGAGAAAGAACACAGGGACCCGATGGGGGGTGAACGTGACCCCGGAGCCCAGGTTCACGCCAGCTCCCTACTCTCTGGAGTCTCTGCAAGAGACGTCTGTTTAACAGGAGCTTCCTGCAGGATGCAAACACGTAGTTGTTCCCTTCTTCGCTCTTACCGAGAGCAAAAGGAAGATACTCCTGCATAAGGACATGTGATTTCCATTTAGAGATGAAGAATAAAATAATATGGGCGGTAGGACATATGGATTTCCCCCTCTTGTCGTTAGTTTGGCTTTTATAAAACATTCGCAACAAATACTGCTGTGTGGACACAGAAGATTTGTCATTGTGGTTCTCTAGTGCCCACCGTTCCCAGGGGACGTCTGGGTGGAGCTTTCCAGAGCCCTGTTGGGTCGGCACGGCAGCCTCGTCCACCGGGAATCCTGAACCTCACCTCCAGTGTCCGCGACAGTCCTGATCCGGTGACCAGGCCCAACACACAGGCAGTGGTTGAGCTCGTGAGTCAGTAGTTAATCGAGGTTAAACATCTGTAGGCGCTGCCACTGCCTCTTCCTTTTATTTCTCTTCACTTATTTTACTTTTAACCTCTTAATTTATCTCTTTATTTATTAATATCAGAAGATATTAATCTTTTAAACTTTATTTTATGCAATGATGGCTGGGAAGGAAAAGTGCGGAGTGTTATGAAGCTTGTCATTCCAAGGGGATTCCGTCCAACACCAGGATTTCACTTGTTTCCCAAAGAATTTTTAATCAAAATTGAAATTCAAAATTTGCAGGGAATTGGAGAAAGTCTTTTCTCCTTTCATTTTTAACGCCCAGATCTCTGAGCAGGGCATCGTCAACGTAGCTTTTGTTCAGTCGAGTTTTGAACGGACAGGCTCAGATCCATTTTCCTTGAGCTCAGAAGGCATTTTCCATCTCTGCTGCTTCGAGACACCCTGGGGGGAGGGCGCTCAGTGAAATCAGCGTCCTGCAAATAGGCCAGGGCATCAGCCAGCGCCCACCCAGCAACCCTGGGCCTCGCCCGCGAGGTGGGTCCCGATCTCCATCACTGGGGACAGAGGTGGTTCAGCTGCACTGGTCCCGCGTGTCCTCAAGAAACAACTCGTGGGCAGCGTCTCTGAAAGGGAGCAAGGGGCACCTTTGCTCGTCCTTATTTCCACGTCATGGTTCTTAGAGAAAGACTTATCTTTCATCTTTTTCCAACATTTCTGATTAACGGGAAGATAGTCCATTACCACATAAATAGGTGTTATTATGTTACTATGTTTTAGTAACAGCTTTTTACCCTGAGAGCCTGACATCTTCATTTCCCTACTTTCATAAATGCCTTATAAACCATATGAAAGAGCCATTTTTGGAGGCCACAACATTTTGAACACTGGTAATTTCATATGGTTCAAACGAACATGTCTGTAGATACATTAGTATAAACACATGTTCCGTACCACATTGTGTGGAAAAGAAAAAATAAAATAAAAAGACATTCTACCTTTTAAGAATGGCAAAAGAGAGATTTCACAAACAATCAGATTTTCGTGGTCTGTAAGAGATTATCTAGAACATCACTAACAAACTATTAATCCTACATGAAATCGACATGCGCCAGATTTCATCTTGGCACAAAGTCCTATGAAGACTGGGGAAATCTGGTGAATGCCCACATACCACATATACAAAAATAGTTACTTTCAAAAGCCAGGACTCTGTTCTGCTTAAACTCTAGGAAAGGTTGGCTTCATGGTTTACCTCAGGCCCCCATGTTCTAGAAATCCTAAGTCTGTATAATTTCTAACAGTTACACCAAGGACGTAGAGATATTAGCACTGCCCTGGAATCATTCACTTATCCTCGTGAAAGATGTATTGACATCGTGCTGTATATGGATGTGGCCCTATATAAAGAGACAACTATTTCTCATTTCCTGAGAGAAATCAGTTTTCATTTTAATTTGAAGGTGAAAAAGAAAGGAAACGAAAAATTCTAGTGCACAGATTCATCGTAGACCATTGCTAGACGTCTAAGAGTCATGTCTTATTTAATCCATAGAATAATTATAGAAAGTAGTTCACATTATGTCCCTTTCATAGATGGGGAAACTGAGGCCTGGACAGGCAAAATATCTGCACAGTTTACACGGAGGGTGAGGGGAGCCAGCCTGCAGTCCCAGCCTCCTTGACTCCTTGGTGACGGTCACATGATCTGGTCCCGAAGGGCGCCGCCTTCTCTGTTCCTTTCTTCCTTTTTGTCCTACTTTTTCCTTCTTTTTCAGAAATACTTGTGGGGTATGCACTTCTAAAGATGCATGGCTCAAGTTCAAGGACCCTAGCCAGCACGGTGATACACTGAAGGCCCACGGAATCTACAGGAGAGGGAAGGTGTGTGGTGTCCCTAAGCTCAGCTCCATGGTCACGGGCTTCAGGCAAACTGAGGCCCCAGCTCCAGCCACCACGGGAACCACCATGTGGGCGCTGCCTGTACTCTTCATTCCCTCAGCTGGGGGCCACCTCTCCCTTGGGCTCAGGAGGCACCTCTGCCGTCTCCTTCACCAGACATTCAAGTGCTTTGCCCTGACGTGCGGGACCAGCCCCAGTGGAATGAGACCCACTTGGAGGGAACCATGGACCTAACTTACCTTTCCATAGGACCCTTGTCCCAAAACTTTTAACAGTTCAAACTGGGAAGGGTCGGCCTTTTCAAAGCCTGCTTTCACATGATGACTGATGTCAATCTCCTTCACGATGCCCTCTTCCTGCAAGAGAAAAACGACAAAAATACAAATCAAGGGGTTCCTCTGGATTCGTCCTCTGAAGTTACAACAAGTCGGGTATGTTATGGATTTTCAGGATAGGAGTTTAAAGCTGTGACACCACAGAGCTTTACAAAATCAACTTGCTTATTTATACAAAGGATTCCGTCTGTGAGCCTTTAACTGTTTCCTTTCCCCATGGAGTTGTGTCATGTGGTCTTACCAATATCTCAGTGAAATCCATTCTGCTTCTTAACAGTTTGGGGAAAATTTTGGACAGGGAGGAATGTGGGAACCGTGGAACAAAACGAACCTCTGAGAATCTGTCTTAACGTCTACACTGCTGTGGTCAAGAAGGTTATCAGGGGCTTCCCTGGTGGCGCAGTGGTTGAGAGTCCGCCTGCCGATGCAGGGGACGCGGGTTCGTGCCCCGCTCCGGGAAGGTCCCACGTGCCGCGGAGCGGCTGGGCCCGTGAGCCATGGCCGCTGAGCCTGCGCGTCCGGAGCCTGTGCTCCGCAACGGGAGAGGCCACAACAGTGAGAGGCCCGCGTACCGCAAAAAAAAATAACACCTCGGCCTGGCCTGTGAATCACTCAGCCCATATTCTGCCTTAGTCATTTTCATGAGAGGTGAATCCTGTTTGCAAAAAAAAAAAAGGTCACCAATAGGGATCCGCAGGCAGAAGTCGTCTGTGAAATGCAGATTTTTTCCTCCTCCTTCTTATAATTCTACTCTCCCTTACATTTTTGCCAGGGCTAATGCAAAGAATGATTCATTGCCACCCCAGAGCTTATATTTCAGAAGAAGCAGTCAGATAGGATTTTCTGCCAGCCCAGAAGCCTTCCCAGTAGGAAAAAAAAGCCCTTGATCTTTAAATTAAAACACTGGCAGGAATCACTACAAATTCTCATCAGAGAACTAACTGTCCCCAGAGACGTATTTCTTCACCTGTAAGGGGGTATGCCACCTATCCACCACCAGCTATTTGACATGGAAAAACTGTAAAGTAGGTGTTTTTCTGTGGGGAGGTGCAGAGGTCACTCAACCTGCTGTGACCCCCTCGGCAGGCAGGTGACCCAGCTCCTGCAGTGCAGCATCCCTGGAGGGGTCCGTGCCCCGGACCCCAGGATTCCCGCCCAGGGTCTCGCTTCACCCCTCCTGTGAACAAGCAGCCCAGCACCCAGGCCATCAGGTCTCCCCAGCCCAGCGCATCCCACCAACACGTCAGCATTCACCTTCCTGAGTCATCACTGCCCGAACATTTCGACTCAAAGGCTTAGAAGCAGATCTCTCTTAACATTTCATTTCGTGTAGATTCTTGCTGTCCAAGTATTTACAGCAAACGCACTCAAAGCACACACCTAACCTCCTCCTCGGGAATGGCGTTAAAACCTCAGGCTGCTCCCTGATAATGCTGCAACGCAGTTAATGTCCCACTTAAAATCAGTAAGGTCTTGAACAGCAAAGACTCTCAACTACCCACAGAAAAAGGAACCAAGAGTTTCACATTTTAGATTTTAGAGGTCTGCATTCATAGTGACATTTTGGCTTGAACTTGCTTGAGATATTTTGTTTTCCTCTTTCCCAAGAATTAAAAAAAAAGAAAGAAAGAAAGAAAAAAAAGAGAAAAGGTCTGGAATCCAATGCTGATTGCTGTGTGCACAGGAAACACCCAGATGGGAGCACGGGGGAACGTGCCCGGGCCTGTCTGCTTCTAACTGTTTCCAGACTGGACAGTGATATTTTCTGAATCATTCTGTGACTATTGCCTTAAAGGGCAACCAGATATAAAATAGTGTCTATGCTTCATTTTGAAATAAATGCCTTTTCCCTTTTATGAGGCAGGTCATTTTTTTCTAGAATTCTATGTGGATTTTAATGCCATTCCCTTAAGAAAATAAAGTCTGTTCCCTCTACATATAGCACTAAAAATTTGGTTTGTAGCATAACTCCTATGAAAGAGTATTTTTTTTAATAACTTGAGAAATCTGTGGGGAGAACCTGGTGTCACGGTCAGGCCCTTGCTCTGTAAGCAAGGATTTCAAAAATGTTCTAATGCGAGAGAGAAAAACTAGAGAAATGACATCAACATAGGACAAAATAATTTATGACAGTGAATTTTAGACTCCCTGTTGAAATTCTGACAGATGGAGGAAATTCCTGTGCAGGTATCAGAGACACAGGGGCAGTGATGGAAACGGCCGGAGGGGACCTGTCGCAGTGCTCTCCGTGCTCTGCCCGCACCGAAGTCACCCTGGAAGGTAATTTCCTCTGTTCTGAATCGTCTGCTTTTCATGTCATTAAAGGGAGAATATTTATCAAAAGTAAACGCAGATTAAAAGTTGTGAAATATTCAATGTTCATTGCAGCTCTATTTACAATAGCCAGGACATGGAAGCAACCTAAGTGTTCATCGATAGATGAATGGATAAAGAAGATGTGGCACATATATACAATGGAATGTTACTCAGCCACAAAAAGAAACAAAATTGAGCTATTTGTAATGAGGTGGACGGACCTAGAGTCTGTCATACAGAGTAAGGTAAGTCAGAAAGAGAAAAACAAATACCATATGCTAAAACGTATACATGGAATCTAAAAAAAAAAAAAAAATGGTTCTTATGAACCTAGGGGCAGGACAGGAATAAAGGCGCAGACGTAGAGAATGCACTTGAGGACACAGGGAGGGAGAAGGGTAAGCTGGGACGAAGTGAGAGTGGCATGGACATATACATATACACTACCAAATGTGAAACAGATAGCTAGTGGGAAGCAGCCACATAGCACAGGGAGATCAGCTCGGTGCTTTGTGACCACCTAGAGGGGTGGGGTAGGGAGGGTGGGAGGGAGACACAAGAGGGAGGGGATATGGGGATATATGTATATGTATAGCTGATTCACTTCGTTATACACCAGAAACTAACACACCATTGTAAAGCAATTATACTCCAATAAAGAGGTAAAAAAACAAAGTTGTGAAATATTAATGACAAAGACGTAGAAAATAAAAATCGGGCAAGCGTTAGCTTTGTCTCCACAAAAGGGGGGACAGGTCATTCTAGAAATCACTGACTTGCATGCAGAATATCACTTCTCAGAAAGAGCAAAGAATAAGTTATTTAACAGATGACTCGTGAAAGTGCGGAAAAGAACAAGGAAATCGCCGAAACTCTGACTCGCCTTGAGCAAGTCCTGCCAGGCTAACCCCGTCCCACTCCGGGCGCTGTTAACACAGCGGTGGCCGGAGAACTGCAGCCTGGCTTTCGGGGGTCCCGCCGGGAGCTCAGGTCAGCAGAGGCCGACATCTCGAGGCATCTCCCATCAGGGCACCACGGCTCCCTCTTCTAGACCCCAAAACAGGACGTCCTCGCCAGGGAATGACATCGTGTTCTGGAGGCTGTGGCCGTGGTGCCCCTGCATCAGTACCACCAGGGAACTCGTTAAAAATGCAGATTCCAGGCCCTGGGCGGGACTACGGAGCCTGGAATCTCTGCGAAGGACGGGGCTGCACCTCGAGCCCCACTCCCAGTCCTGCGGGCTGGTTCCCTGCAGCACACAAACAGGCTGTCCTGTCCGCATGCTTCTCAGGAAACAGACTGCATGGTCCCACCGCCGCCCACCAGCTCTTGGAAGGGATTTCACACTCGCTGCCCCACTTCCCTCCTCCCCTCTCTCACACCCACTGCCACCCACTCTCTTCACCTCATCAAGTCATCAAAACCCTCCCCGGGGCTCACCCCAGGGGTCAGACCTCAGAGTCCACGCACCGGGCACCATCCATCACCCCATCTTCCTCGAAACACTTCCCTCACTTGGATTCCGGGCCGTCACGCCCCCGGGCCTCCCGACACCCCCTCTCTCCCGTCCCCTTATCTCCCTGTCTCCCAACATCCCCTGGACCCCGTCTCTTCTTCCCCGTCATCACCCCCTCGGGGCCCAGTCCTGTCTTGGGGCTTTGTGTTACCGTCTGAACACCGACAGCTCTCAGGTCTGGACCTGCCCCCAGAACTCCAGACGTGAGGCTCATCCCAGGTGACGTCCTGAGTGTGCGCGTGTAGTCGGGGAGACCTCGGGGGCCGGGAGCCTCCCGGGGCCTCCGCTCCATGCGGGCAGGGCAGAGGGCTACGGGGCAAACCTGGCATTTGTCGCTGGCCCTCTGCCCCGTCAGCTGCTCTGACCTGGGGCACGGCCTCTGAGTATCTCCTACCGCTTCCCAGCTCATCAACGCATTTAACTGTTTAAAAGAGAGATTTTATCCATACTTTCAACTGTTTTTAGACAGAGGGCTCACCACACCTAGCCCACCGTACTGCTGGGAACAAAGTTCAGAAATGCTTTCAAAGTGGAGAGAAGTCACCGAGTAGCTCATCTGTCTCTTCCAGGGAGTGAAGACAGGGGACCCTTGAAAAGTCCCTCGGGGAGGCGCACCCCACCCCCAGTAAAGCGTCCAGAGTCAACGACACAGGCCTTTCACTACACAGACCCCCGAGGAGACGGCTGTGCACACGCTATAACACAAGGTAGAAGGAGCAGCGTGAGCCTCAGACTCACAGCCAGAAGGAACCTCCTCCTTCTAGGCAGGTCCGGTGGCTTCTCCAAGGGAACCCAGGGGCCGAGCCGCAAGCGGATCCCGACCTCCCGGGGCCCGGATGGGATGCGGGCCCCGGGCAGCGCGGCTTCCTCTCCCACCCGCCCGAGGAAGCTTCTGAGACGCAGTGGCTCGTGCACTGCGGACTCTTCTCTGCTCTTTGAACTGCCCTTCACACGTCTCCGCCAACGTGTCCGCTCTCGCTGGCGTGAGCAAACGTGAGATGAAATTACAGGACCAGCTGCACTGGTCCAATCGGTTCCTCGGGAAACCATTTCTACGGAAAGTTTCCACTCCGTTTCCAAAGGGCTAAATATAAGCTAAGGCATTTAGGATGGCGACACTTCCCCAACGAGAGTGGGACTCCAGCTGGCTCTGCGGGCACTTGCTGGCCTCTAGACAGAACAAGGACGG